TCATACTGCTATAAAGAACTACCTGAGACTAGGTAATTTATAAGGAAAAGAGGTTTAGTTGGCTCATGGTTCCACAGGCTGTACAGGAAGCCTGGCTGGGAGGCCTCAGGAAACTAACAATCATGGCAGAAAGTGAAGGGGAAGCAGGCACATCTTACATGGCCAGAGCACGAGGAAGAGAGTGAAGCGGGAGGTGCTACACACTTTTAAACAACAAGATCTCGTGAGAGCTCACTATCACAAGAACAGCAAGGCGGAAATCAGCCCATGATTCAATTACCTTCCACCAGGCGGGGGACACAAACCCAAATCATATCAACAAATATGCCTTTCATAAAATTTAAAATTAAGTCAAAGACAAAATAACAACATTAGTGAGAATGAATGAAACAGGCAATATCATACATGTGTAGGATTTTCTGGTATAATAGATAAAACAGTTATTGTATGCATGCAAATTTTTACAATATATTTTATTTGATACTTACATATTATACACTATAATGTATAACATAAAATATATAAAATTTATTGCACATATTACATATATTGTATATATTATTCATATATATTAAAATAAATACTATATGCTATTACAATAGTCTGTGATAGACAAGTTGTGTGTAAATAATTAAAATATTTAAAGAGAGATTTGAAGATATTTTTGAAAAGCCAAATCTCAATTAATTTCTCTCTAAGGGTTTAATATAAATATCACCAGAAACCTTTGAAAAATGTTTTAGTAGATTTTTACACATTAAGAACAAAACATGATTACGCAACTTTTAAGATGGTTTATAATCGCACATTTTAAAATACATACATTGAAGAACAATATGAGGGAGCCAGAGCTATGGAGATAAAAAGGATAGAAAGAAGGCCAGAATGTTAATATACTAAAAGAAGCAAATAAATATTGAATAATTACTGTGGTTAAATTTGTGAGTACTTTAATCCCAGTACTTTTCTTGGTTTTACTTCTTTAACAGTTGTGTGTCCTTGAGTAAATTGCTTAAGTCTCTGCTGTAGCTTCTTTTTATATAACATAAATATAATTATACCTAACAAATGGAGTTCTCTTGAAAATAACTGAGAAAATATAATGCAATTGTGGTGTAAGGATATATACATAACATTGCTTTTTCTTTCCCGGTTCCTGGTTCCTAACACCCATAGCCCTTGTTATAATTGTCTTTCGTTACAACGTTTTGTGTGCCTGGCCTCAGGAGCAGGCCTCAGGAATGAGAATCTCTCTGACCTCCTCCTGCCCTCCTTTCACCTGCCCCATAGCAGGACTTTAAACTTCCCCTGCCTGCCTTTCTGATTGCAGGTCATAAGACTCCCATTCTAGAGAAGAACCTGCCCCATACCCTTGGAGAAGGAGTGCTGCCATCATGAAGCTTCCATGCAAACCCAGGAGGACTGGGTTCAGAGTGCCTCCTGATAACCAAACCCATAAAGGTTCCTGGAGGGCGGTGCACCCGGAGGTGACATGTAAGTGCTGCCCTGTCCCCCATACTTTGCCCTGTGCATCTCTGCATCTTTATCTTTTAGAATATCCTCTAGAATAAACTGGGAAATGTCAGTGCTTCTCTGAGTCCTGTGAACTGCTCCAGTAAATTAATCAAACATAAATAAGGGGTTGTAGGAAGCCCAACTTGAAGCCAGTTGGTCAGAAGTTGCAGAGGCTTAAACTTGTTACTGGTGTCTGAAGAAGGGTCAGTTTGGGGGACTGAGACCCCAGTCTGTGGGATCTGACATTATCTCCAGGTAGATATTGTTGGAATTGAATGGAGGAAACCCAGTTGGTGTCCACTACAAAACTGATTTCTTGCTTGCTGGTGGGAAGATATCACTACATATTTTGAGGTCACAGAAGTCTTCTATGTAGTTGTGTTGGTGTGAGATTACAGGGAACACACAGTTTGAGAGCTTTTCCAAAACTACAACACAGTATAATTCAGTAGTCCAAAAAGAAAGCAAAAATAAAAGTTCAATACATAATTACAACAAAAATATTTTTTCTACATCATTTGCATTATTTTTATAATTAGAAAAGATACCTGAGCTAAGGTTATTCTATCATTTATCTAATATCAAGTTTCTTCGATATCATTGGTTCAATTTAGGATTTGGAAGTATATTTTGCCTCACTGGCAACTCACTATTGTTAGTTGCAGAATTCTTATCATGCTCGTGATTGGTCAATGAGTTCCACTATGTGCTTATATATTTGATTGTATTTTTACATATAATTTATATTAAATGCTTTATGTAAAGGTAAATTCTTGCTACTACTTTTGCTAAGGGAGAAAGGCCATAAATCAGTAGATTAGGCCTGTTGATGGCCCATTCACACAGTCATATGCTGCATAATGACGTCTCAGCCAAGCAGGGACTATATATACAATGGTGGTCTCATAAGGTTACGATGTAGCTGAAAAATTCCAAGCACCTTGAGACATCATAGCCATCTTAATTTTGTAGCACAATCCATTACTCACGTGTTTGTGGTGGTGATGCTGGTGTTAATAAACCTATTGTTCTGCCAGTGGTATAAAAACAGGACACATGAGATCATGGACAGTCCACAATACTTGATAATGGTAATAAACGATAATGTTACTAGTTTATGTATTTAGCATATTTTATTTTTATTTTATAGTGCACTCCTTCTACTTATAAAAATTGTGAACTGTAAAACAGCTTCAGGTGGTATTCCAGAAGGAAGCATTATTATCACAGGAGACGACAGCTCCATACCTATTATGGTCCCTGAAGACCTTCCAGTGGGGCAAGATGTGCCGATGGAAGACAGTGGTAATGATGATTCTGACCCTATGTGGGCCTAGGCTAATGTATGTGTTTGAGTCTTAGTTTTTAACAAAACAGTTTAAAATTATTTTAAATACAAAAATAAGAATAGGAATATAAAGAAAAAATATTTTTGTAAAGTTGTATGATTTGTGTTTCAAGCTGAGTTGTTACAAAAGAGGCAAAAGTTTAAAAACAAAGTTTTAAAGTTTATAAAGAAAGAACAGTTTAAATGAGCTAAGTTTAATTTACTATTGAAGAAAAAAAGACATTTTGTGTATCCTAAGTATACAGTGTTTATAAAGTCTATAGTAGTGTACAGTAATGTCCTAGGCATTCACATTCACTCACTCCTCACTGTCTGACACCCAGAGCAATTTCCAGTCCTGCAAGCTCTACCCATTGTAAATGCCCTATACAGGTGTACCATTATTTGTATTTTATGTTATATTTTTATTGTAACTTTTCTGTGTTTGGATATGTTTAGATACGTAGTTACAATTGCCTACAGTATTTAACAGAGTAACATGCTGTGCAGCTTTGTAGCTTAGGAGTAATAGGCTAAACCATACAGATATAGCCTAGGTGTGTAGTAGCCTATACTATCTAGGTCTGCATAATTACACTCTATGATGTTTGCACAATGACAAAATCATCTAATGACACACTTTTCAGAATGTGTCTTTGTTGAGTGAATCATGAAGATAAACTGTTCCATACCAGGAAGAGACAAACAGTACACTCAAACATGGAAATTCTTGGGCTCATGAAAATTGGATTCTTAAAAGAGCATTAGATACATTTTTAAGAAATACCAAAATTGAGATTTTGATAACATTTTTCTTTTTGTTGTCCAAAAAATGAATCAATCTTTGAATTTTTTGCCTTACTAAATCAGAAAAGTGAGTATCCTCTGTCTTTGGTAATATCCTGTTAGTTCACAGATTTTGAAATATGTTGAAATACACTCTATAATAGTGGAGAGAGAAACAATGAGATAGCTTTAGGAAAGTCATCCCACAGCTGCCTAAAGATATGGTCTATGCAGATAATGTGCTCAGTTCCCTGGCTCACCATTTGTTTTTATCCTAATGTTTCATGTTCCAGTTGCCTCCTTGCACATTGTGGAAAATGCTGGGTGAAAGAAGTCGTAATAAGGAAAGATATCAATATATAAACCACGTGTTTTTTAATTCATTTATATCTGCATTAACTTCTGATTGAAGAAAAATAATTTGTTGTTCAAAAAGACAGCTTGTAGATAATGGCTATCTATTTGATCACATAGCAATGATGTAGGAACCCAGTGTTCAGTTAATTAGATATTACTCAGGTAAGTAGAAGAGATTAAAAAAACTTAATAAAAATTTATTTACACATACTAATGATTTTTAAGAGAAAATGCTGGGTTTCAGGTCAAATGAGTTATGTATTTAGTGTACATGTATTTAAGATATGTACTAAGAGAAAACAACAACAAAAAAAGAATAGAAGAAACGAAGAAAGAAAGGTTGGAAGGAGAGAGAGGAAAGGATGAAAGAAGTGGTAATGTAACAGAGACAAGTATTTAAAACGATTCACAAATTATTTTATTCAATGAGCATATGCCATAGAATGAAAATGAGATGGGGGATGTTACATGTCTTTGCCTTCATTCAATTTTGTCTCCTGTGTGTCTCACAGTGTGACATTCTCACTTTCCTGAGTGTGAATCCAATATTTAAAGATACAGTGAAAATTATTTTGTTCATGCCCCCTAAATACAAGCTACTTTACAATGGACTCAGCCAAGAAGCTGTGATCTGTTCTGTCACTGGCAGAAAAACCAGGTGTGACAGACTTGTTGGTAGATGTCCCTAAATGTACTTCACGGCTTATTTAAGAGAATGCCAGTGAGTAATATTGATTATAAGAAATTTCTGAGCCGGGCACGCTGGCTCACACCTGTAATCCCAGCACTTCCTAAGGCAGCCTGACTTCTGTCCAAGCAGGAGTTCTGCACAGGTTTCTGAGTTAGTGCTCCTGTTTCATTCTTGCTAACACTGACACAGGGATAGCATGTTTAAAGGCAATATATGCCTGTGCCTACTCCTCTACTTGAAGCTCTTGATTTACTTCACATTGTTGTTACGGTGATGTTTGAACTATTTATTATGACTAACAGATTATTACTGATGTCCTTGAAGCATGATAAATGCCATGTGCATGTTTTTTTTTTAAATAAAATAAATAAAGGTAGTCCTGTCTCTGGACTCTGACCCTCAAATCTAGTCTATTTTATACCTACACTTACGTTTTTTTCCTAAGATGAAATACACTGATTCCACTAGCCTGATCTGTCATGTCTGTAGTATATTTTTCTGCTCTCTTTCAACAAATCTAAGCTTATTTCTCATGTTTTCTGTTATCCACACATCAACTATTGCTAAATAATTTTAAAGCAGTCTACTTTTTTACATCTCCATGAAAATAACACTTAATATTTCCCTAAACTATAGCTCTCGATTATATTCTCTCCTACATAGTTAGAATTGCAATTAGTAAACAAATAGAATTCTACATACGCCTCTATTTGAATATACTTTTATTAGAATTCTACATACGCCTCTATTTGAATACATTTTTATTAGAATTCTATATATGCATCTGTTTGAATGTCCTTTTATTAGAATTCTATATATGATTGGCTATTCTTGGTGTTTTTCAAAATTCAGTTTAAAAGAATGGAATTCATTGCCTTCCAGATTCTCTCCAGATTCATTTGCTCCTTTTTTTCCCGTAATTATTTGCTTATGGTTCCACCAGTATGTACTCTAGAGAAATGGTCATGCATGTGCTGAAGGAGACGTGCACAAGGATTACATAGATACATACATTACAACATGAAGAAGTTGTTGACATATTTACTTTAAAATAAAAACTAATTTTAGAATAATAGAGAGCATTAAAGACATTTAGATAAAATACACAAAGAGACAGATATGTCTTATAGCTACTTAACCTCCTTTCTATATGCCTTAGTAAGGTTTTGAATACAATAAGAAATGCAGGGGATTTGAATCTAGGCAAAATGAAGCCATGGCCCAGGATTCTTCTTTAAAATGTGGCTTCTATCTGGACAGATGGGACACCACTCATTTGACAAAAGATTACTCATATGAGTGGTAGTAGGACAGAAAGAATGTCACATATTTTTTAGGTGTGCATTTGACAAAGCATACAGTCCATTGAAAATTCATAAAACCTACCTTATGGTGATTTCTTTTAACCACTTGATGCTTATGGCATTAAAATATAGTTGTTAAAAGCGCATGGATGACACTTTTAATGTTCATGAGGGTTGTTGATTTCTAAAATTAAATAGTTATAATAAATATGCGGGCTTATGCGAGTTAGCAGATTTGATTGCGTTACCATGATTAAATGGTTTCTTCAGGGAAATACTGTTGAATATTTTTGTTCGTGTTAATTTGTAGACCTGTAACTTGGAAACACCTTAAAGTACATATTAGAAAACTCTGGCCATATTGTAAAAATTAAAGTAGCATACAAATGTCAAATATTGTAATTTTTAATATTGAGACATTGAAAATAAAGATAAGTGCATATTGTGTTCGTATTCTAGGAAAATGTGAATAAAAATCAGAGACATTGTATCTTTTTCTAAAAGCACTGATGGGAAAGTCTTGAAATGACAGGTATAGTTTAAGAAATTAAGGGCATTATCAGCTCATTTCTATAGTTGTGTTAATTCAAAGTTCATGGTAGAGCACTAGAGCTTATAAATACACAATGCAATTGGACGCACTGAGAACATTTCTTCATGAGTTATGCAAAGCAGTTTAAAGCAGGTTACCTACCTCAAGCCTGCTGGCCAAAGTTGTTAGAAAAACAGCTTGGGAAGTTTTAAACTTAGAAATAATGAGTTACCCAAAATCCCGAGAATGAAACAGTAAATCGTGGTACAGTGTGCTCTTAATTTTTTCCCCATCAGTTCTTCTATTTAACTCTCTAATAATAAAGCTAGCAATAATTAATTACATTCATTTTATCTAGTTATGAATGAGGGCAGAATGTAATGAAAGTTCAAATATAGCAGAAAAGTAAGGGAGGGGGATATTGTATTTTTTTCCTAATTTGAATTACTCTTTCAGGAAATGACTTTCTTAAAATTTTATTTATTTTAAGAGCTAATTAATGTCACAGATTTATTTGCTAACACAGTTATCTGCTACATAGCCCAATATTGGTAAACACTGGGCTAAATTACTGTAATATTATTGAATCTTAACTAATTTTAACAATTATCAATTAAAATTGAAATTAATTTGATCACCATATTCTGTCCACATGAAGGGAGGGAGTTAAAGAGGAAAAGAAGGAAGGGAGACAGGAAGAAAAAGAAGAAAGGAGAAATATACAATTATGATGAAATACATAAAACATAAAAATACTAGCAGATAAACTAGCTCAAATAAAAACTATCAAGCTGTTTAAATATCACATAAATTCAACTAACTTAGTCAATTAAGTAAGCAATTGAAATAATTACTGATTTTGAATAGTACCTGTATTAGTCCATTTTCATGCTGCTGATAAAGACATACTCGAGACTGTGTAATTTATAAAGAAAAAGAGGTTTAATGAACTCACAGTTCCAGGTTCTGGGGAGGCCTCACAATCATGGTGGAATGTGAAAGGCATGTCTTACATGGCAGCCGGCAAAGAGAGAATGAGAGAGCAGTGAAAGTGGAAACCCCTTATAAAACCATAAGTTCTCATGATACTTATTCACTGCCATGAGAACAGTATGGGTGAAACCACCCCCATGATTCAAGTTTCTCTCACCAGGTCCTTCTCGTAACACATGGGAATTCTGAGAACTACAATTCAAGATGAGATTTGGGTGGAGACACAGCCAAATCATAACAGTACCTTTGAAACAGTATTTTATTTTGGTAAAATAAGACATAAGTCCTTTTACATATAATTCTACATAGATGATCCTTATCAATATTAGACGTTCTATAAACATATTAATGAAAGGAATATGCTTTTTATTGAAATCTTGATGAAATTACTGGTTATCACATGCTTTTCTAAAGAGATTGTCAACTATAAAACTATTATGTGATATTAGTTTAATAAATAGGTTTAGTGACACATCATTTAAGTTAAAATGTTTTAATGTCTTTTGGTTCTTAAATGTATTCACATATTGAACAATTATTAACTTTTAAAATAGTTCAAGTATTTGATTTAACAAATAATTTAGAATGTTTTTTCACACTAAAAATCACATTTATAGGCACATATACAATGTATATAATTATCTTAATCAAAAATTAAACTGTAAAATGTTTTTTCCTATTTTATTGTATAGGTTTGTGTATTCACATGTATAGGTAGCTAGATACATAGATGAATAAATACAGATAACAGCTATAGACATATACAGCTAATGATTTGGGAGAACTGATAAAAGTGAGGAATCTAGATGGAGCGGATTTGGATTTAATTCTTGATTTTAAGTCAATAAGGATAAATCATAAACTGTATATACAGTACTTAGCATGCTTGACAATAAGCAATTCATAAATGATAGTTATCACCATAATCATTATTATGTTTAATAATTATTTTGTCCCATGACTAGAATTTCTGTTTAAGAGAAAAAAGTCACAGTTTTGACAGTCACTTAATTTATGAGGTAGTTTGATGTCTGTCATTCAATTTTATATTTATTTCTATATAAAAAAAATTGTTTTACCCAGCACACAAAGCAAAGATGACAGCTGACCTTGGAAGAGAACCAAGAATGCCTTTGTATTCTTAATGCAGTTTCTTTTTACAACATTAAGTGTCTTTCTATTTTGTCAGGAAAATAAAGAAATGAGTGAAAGAGGCATGAAGACTGGGTGTCAGAACTGGTTCTAAAATTTACAACTCTGTAAATCATGATATTTTATGGAGAACAATTTCAATTTCATCATGGTTCAATTGGGATAAATAATACTTTTCCCTATAATTTGCTTAGATTATAAAAAGATGTGATAGTAGTAATTTAGTTTATAATAGTTTGCTAGAGTTTAATTTGCAATTCATATTTATATATATTATTTGAAAGCATACTTCTCCAGGTGTTAATTGTGCTTAAAAGTGAGCTACACAGGAAAAATATATCCATTATAGTGACTAGCTTAAGAGAGGGGGGACGAGTTATAACTGACAGGACAGGTGAAGGCAATCTCTGGACATAAATAGTATTTACTCGGATGTTTGCTTCATAATTATTGGCTAAATTATATGGTTTGATTCCATGCAGTTTTCCACATTCTTATTTCACAATAGAACATTTAAAAGAGTCAAGCAAAAATATATGCAATATAATATTTACTTCTAAGTAATAATCATGTAGCATAACATGCAGTAATCTGCCCTTATTCATGAGTGATGTGCTCCAAGACCCCTAGGGATTGTCTGAAACTGTGGATAGTGCCAAACCCTATAGATGTCATTATTCCCCTACACATGCATACCTATAATAAAGTTTAACTAATACACCAGGCATAATAAGAGATTAACAACAATAACTGACAATAAAATATAACAATTGTAACAATATGCTGTAAAAAATTACGTAAATGTGGTCTCTCTCTCAAAATATCTTGTTTTACTCTACTCACCCTTCTTGTGTTGATGTCAGATGATAAAATGCCTCTGACAGGAGCATGGGATGAGGATGACTAAAGGGAGGGACAGCATGAGATTTTATCATGCTATACAGAGTGACATGAAATTTAAAATTTACATATTAGTTTATTAAACGGGATGAAGGCATGAGAGCATGTAACGAATGCTTAAGCAAATTGGAAGTCACAAAGTTGCTAACTCCAAAGAAAAGTTCAAAATTTCCTGTTTCTAATATGCTAAATCTAGTAATAAATAAAATTACTAGACATAAGTGAGGTCACCATTGTGGCAATCTTGGGAGACACAGATAAAATGTAAATTCTCATTCCTGTAGAATAGGAATTTGGATAAGCACTTTAAGAGCGCTAACCCACAGTTATAGAAAGCTGCCTTTAACCTATAGCATCGATTTATAAATATAAAGATTTCTTTGGATACAAAAACTGATTAGCCCTGGTCTCAGCACAGTCAAAATTTGTCTTAAAAAAAGAGACGTCTGAGTTGTAAGAGCATTCATTCTAGGAGCTAAGAGGGAGAGAAAAGGAAAACCAAACAATTTGATTTTTATATCACCTACTTCTTGGTCTTTCCCATTTCCCAATAAGACAATGCTTTAACTGCTGATTATTGTGTCTACTTAAGTAAACTGTTAACATAAGTTTCCACAAGACTATGATAAACTCTTATCCCAAGATGAAAAGTGATACTGAAAGTGCCCATTTACTTCCATTCAATTTGGGGATTTCAGGCACATTAACACACACGAAGGGGGCAAACATGTTTTCAGCGTAAGGAAGGTGCATATAAGACTGCAAATTGTTACCGTGGGTGGTTGTAAAATCACAAAAGATCAGCCTAGAAATGAGGCGAGCAGAAATATCCTTTCTGTTTCTTGTGATTTATCGGGAGTCTTCTTTAAGGATATCTCTTAAACACCTGTATGAGGTCAAATCTACTATCTTCCAATCTGATAATTTTTGTTGGTACACTGGTACCTTGGAGCCATCTAAAATGCTTAGTTTAAATTTTGGCGTAATATTACTTTAACCTATAGATTCAAACATTACAAAAGATGCTGTTTTGAGGGTATTATTTTAATTTCTCATTTATATAATATATTATTAAGGCAGTGTAATTTAAGAACTACATTGTTAGTGAAATATGTGTACAGACCAAATTTATCTAACAAGATTTTTTAAAAAATACCTCCCTTCAGTCTGTCTATTCAAAGATTGGTAATAATTGATGAAATGCGTGTGGAAATGCATCAACTTGCCCTTTCGCACACCAATCAGAACATACACTCATATTTGTTTTAAATTTCCTGGGTTATATGTGAATATAACATATTTAAATAATTTTATTTGTATCATAAGTATTCAGTTCTTGTTATGTGCAATCTACCTTCCTTTAGTAAAATTAATTACCTAAAATTCCAATCATAGGGTAGTTGGCCAGTCTCATTTTTAAGTGAAAATAAATTAAAAATTCACAGAAAAATTAGAA